GCGGTTGCTATGATTTGCGTGCCAAACCCAGTTGGGTTTTTCAAGGTGGTAGGCTTCATGTTGGTGTCCTTCCAGCATGCAACAATTGCAGTCATCTGAAGGATTTCAGTTGGAATTTGTCTCTGCAAGGGTTATGCCCTGTATCTCCGCAGCACAACACAAAACACCACGACCAAACGACACCAACAGGAACTCAATTCATCGCTCCAAACCTTTTGACAGTAAAATCCAGGGCGCAATTGCAGCTTCTATTGCAAGTCTGGGACACATACCTACATCATTGCTACTTTTACGTGATGACATAGACTTGGTTGACGTTGGAAGGGGGGGGGGGGGGGAAAAATCAGCTGTAGCAGTTACGTGGGGATTTCCCACTAAACCACAATAGGCAAAAATGTAAAATGTTTCCCAACGACAACCATGTATGGGGATGGCGAGGGCAATGATTCCAAAAAAAAGGAATGCTTCATGGAATATCGAAGTCATCCCTGCTTTGACATCTGGATCACCTACAACAGTGCCGCACCCAGCGATCCACAAACTAGGGCCCATGATGACGTTCATTCAACTCTGCCAACCTTGGAATGAACAAGGAAATGGGCCATCAACACAATCGCAATGTACCAGAAGGATGTTGTCTTGGCCTCGTAAAGAGTCGTCGAGTTCAGCCGACTAGGTTCATCCCTCTGGGCTGGTGAGTATCCTGAAGCCCACAGCCGGACCCCCGACGCATGGTGACGTTGTGCTAGGAGCCAAAGTGAATGTGAACGGACCTCCGCTTTGTTCGCAACCAAAGTCGCCAGAAACCCTTGACAAGGAATCGCATGGCGTTTTGTTTGCCATGGTATATAGCCACTATGTAGCCTTGCCCAAACCAGTTTCGCGTGATGGGTCAAGACTAGCTGGACCTTCTCCTCCAAGTAATGGGGGTCGTTCTTTGCGCCACAACAAAAAGACGGGGCTGACAAAAATGAAACACACTGGAGCCCAAGCCCATAGCCCAAATGCAAATTTGACCCGAGCTTGGTATGCTTCAGAAATGGGAAGAAAGGGCAAGGTAGAAGGAACGCTTGAAGTGGGCAAAGAAAGGTGCGGGAGGGCCAACCTTTGACAAATCACAGCACATTCTTTGGGACACTGCCGAGCGGTAGAACCCTTGCCCAAACAGTGGCAGTATGGGAAAAGGGCACCTTTTGGTCGTTGACTTTAAGGCGACGCCCCCTGCCAAAAACGGAAAAAGCGAAGCAAGCCACTGGGGGGCAACACCAGAGGGCAACCACTGCTTTCAACATGTTGAAATCACTCTTTAAACCTCCAAATGTTACGTCGGCGTAGGGTCCATGCCATGCCTTGCTCATTTGAACTGTTCAAAACCTCGCACATACCATCGCTTTCCAAACTTGACATCCCAGAAATTTGCAAATTTGGCCTATGCCCTGAGTGGGGATGTTGAAACGAGCTTTGGGGGGAGGCGGGGGGGGGGGGCTTGGCAACACGGAAACCAACCTTTTGGACGGGGTTCAGGGTTTTGATGCTATATTTCGACCTTCCCAAAAATCAAAAGAATCTGTTGGAGCCATCTTTCATTTTCATGCTTGACCACAACTGTTGACCGAGACAGCTCTTGATAGCTTCACGCCATTTTAGACATACTCCGTTGCAATGCTTGCGCCAGATTGGCACGGATAAACTTGAGCATTAGCCGCCTTGTGCTGCACAAGACATTGGTGCGATGCAAAGTGATGCTGTGAGAAATGTCACTCTTTACACAGCGGATGGATTCTCGTGGCGCTCCTTGCCACGTGCAAATTTCACCAGTACAGGTGATCCAACCGGGTCCCACGCGTGATTTTTAGAAGCCCTCTCCAACAAAGGCAACTTGGAGAAGCATTTTGTTGGTGCTCTTACTAGGCTGACTGACGAGTTGAGCCAACAGAGCTGCCAGTTGAGAAGCAATCCAATTAATCACTTGAGCGGCGCCCGTTGATCCTCTGACTTTGGCTTCGAACGCCACCGAGATCAAACAGGTTGTAACTAACAAAGTATGTAGCCCCCTGACCATGATCCTTTTCATGATTCGGCAACTTTCGGTGTGTTTGGGTCCGCTGAATTTGCCAGATAGCTAGCGCCGTGTCAAGTGGCTGCCTGCGAACCGTCCATGCAACAGCAGAAAGTATGGTTTCCAAGAACATGAGCCTCGGTTTGCTTGTTTGCTCCGCTTTTCTAACTTAATCCCTTCCCCGAACGCGCACCGCGCACACCCCCAAAAGCAACACCTTTGAACAAACAAGTCGGGGGCCCCGGGGGTTGGGAGTCAAGAACTGGGTGCTTTTGAATGTAAAAGGTCCACCAAAATGAACAAACACCTGCCCGAATACATGTTTTCCTGTTTTGCATTTTTGGTCCTGGTTTGGACTTGCTCTAGAACTGGCTTCAGGAGAGCCCTAATACGACTGGGGTTGGACCCAGCGGGACATTCTGCTAGCTTAGAATTGGTTTAGTATTAGTCAGTTCTAGTGTAGTATGGATAGATTTCGGGCTTTGGAAAAACATTATTTTGAACATTCTTTACCATGAGGGGAAGTGATCAGTTCTCATCAAGGGGCGATTGTTGGTAAACCTATCTTGTCGCTGCCACACCAAGGTGTATGAATGACTGGGCCCGCCCCGGGAAGGTCGAGAACCAAGGTCGATGCTTACTGGCACGAGTCAAAATACGCTGGGGTGTCCTGAGATTTGTCGGAGCTATATATATATATATACACACATGCCGCACATGCCCTAAGGGGTGTCCTGCAAAATCAAGATGTGTCAAAGCTCTCGATGGTTCAAGGCAACCCGGAAAGCCGCTTTTTGGGGCCCCGTTGGCTGCCAAACACCTGTCCAACCACCAACCTCCGCTTCGTACCTCTCTGCAAAAGAACTCCTTGCCCTGTTCTTGGCTTCCTCAAAATCATTCCGCCGCCAGTAAGGGATCCCTCGAGACATCTGGCCAGCTTGACGCATGGCAGGACAAGACTGTCAAATCTGTCAAATCTCCTTGACTCTCAGCGCATCACAGCGGATGGTCCGCCTCTGCGTCAGCAAAACATGCCCGGCATGGGTTCCAGCAAAAATGATCTCGGCGAGATTTGAAAAGCAAAAAATCTTCCGCAAAATTCAACTTCCCTCAGAGGCAAACATGCACTCTGCGCTCCATTGGGTTCAGAACCATGTGGGACATGTGATACTAAAGTGGCTGATTCCCATCCCCAAGACTACTGAATTCACTTTCTCAGTCTAAGAGTGTTCCCTTTGTGTGACAAAGGACCCAAGTTCCGGCCTAGAACTGGCCCCTCTGAGATTGAACGGCTCGCCAGTTGTCCAATCAAGACTGGGCTGTGCAAGAAGTGCCACAAGAAGCACACTCCAGCATGCACGCTCTGCTTCATGGTTACAAGAAACTTGGCCTGTTCCAAAAGGCCATGGTCAATCCCACATTCGAGAGACACCAATGCAGCGGGGACAACTGTCATGCATGAAACAAGCCTTTTCCAGGCCAACCATTATCCGCCGACCCCTCGCCCCAAAGGGGAGGCGCATGGGAAGGGCTTGTCTTCGTCCTTTGTCATAGTGATGATTATCATCACCTCTGATGTTGGGTGATGCTTCGCAGCATCCGGATCATTAGTGATGAGTATCATCAGAATGTCGTCACGGTAACTGCTCGCGATGCTGGGGATGCGTAGTGATGGTTATCATCAGCATCATCGTCATCAGCGCACGCATAGTGATGTGCTGATGTTGGGTGATGGTTTGCATCATCAGGATCATCATCATCATCATCATCATCAAGTGTGCCGTTAGACCCGGCTTGAAATGCAGATGTCATGATAACTGCTGCTGATGCTGGGGATGCATAATGATGATTATCATCAGGATGTTGTCACGGTAACTGCTGGTGATGCTGAGGATGCGCAGTCATGATTGTCGTGATAACTGCTGCTGATGGGGATGCATAGTGATGCTTAAGATGCGTAGTGATGATTCTCCTCAGGGTCATAGGTTCATCATCATCATCATCATCATCATGACCTGACTTGACATGCAGGGGATGCAAAGTGACAATTATGATTCTGATCATGACTGCTGGCGATGCTGCGGATGCAAAGTGATGATTATCAGCATCACTTGACCCGAATCATCAGGATCAGTATCACTATCGTCGCGCTCTTCTTGTCATATACGTTTCAAGTGTGCCGTTGGACCAGACTCCGAAATGCAAAGGATGGTAGTCATGATTGTCACTAAAACTGCTGCTGATGGAGTCCCGGTAACTGCTGGTGATGCTGAGGATACGTAGCGTAGTGATGATTGTCATCAGGATCATCATCATCATGACCGACTTGACATGCAGGGGATGCAAGTTGACGATTATGGATGCGTAGTGATGATTATTAGCATCACTGATGCTTGCATCATCAGGATCATCATTATCGCGGCGTTTCCTGCCCGAGTCCACACGGGCACTTCTTGTAAAATCAAACAAGGTGCTCGTTATCATGCGACTTAATCCTGCAGTAGCTTGTTTGACATGCAGGGAATGCGTCGTCATAATTATTATAACAACTGCTGATGCTAAAACTGCAAAGTAACAATTATCATCATAACTGCTGGCGATGATGCGAATGCATAGTAATAATTATCAGCATACCTAATGTTGGGTAATAATTCGTATAATCAAAAGCGTCATCATTGTCGTGGTGCTCTTCTTTTTCATATATGCTTTAAGTGTGCCGTTAAACCCGACAAAAAATGCGTATTCATAATTGTCATAACAACGTCCCCTGTCAGCAAGCCGGAGACGGCGGCACAGGGCGGCGGCCCTTGAATTTCCAGGCTGGGGAAATGATTCCTTCCGCCGGGTTTGCCTGGGGGAGCCAAGAGCAGGTCAACTCTTAGATCAAGATGAATACAGGGCATTCGCATTATCCACAACACGGGAACTTTTCTGTGGCTCGGCGCTCCTTTTGTCTTTTGAAAGGGACACCCAAAGAAAACCGATCATTTAGGAGACAGACCCAAATCCTTGGTTTGCATCTTGCGGAGTGTATTTCCCTGGAGAGGCTTCAGGAAACCTCCCGACAAAAGCTCAGTTGTTCAGTGACCCTGGAAAAAAAGGGAACCCTTTTGGCACATGGCGCACGCACGATCGCATGCGCTGGTGAGCAGGGCATGCCGCCCTACCACCACGCAATGTGGCCCGAAAGCCGTGTAAAGGGGGCAGGAGCCCCAGGGAGAGCGAGGCTCGATCCCCAACTGTACTGCCACAAAGCAGCCCTGGGCCCCCACAACCCGAAGGCCGTGGTGACCCAGGGACCAAAAGAGCCTCGCAGAGGCCAAGGCATCAGCAACCAGGAGAGTTGCAAGTCCTCCACCACGAGCTGCACCACGAACGACAATGCATATTCATAAAAGTCTGACCAGCGCCAGGAAGTACACCATCCACAAGTCACCATAGGCCAGCACGGAGTCGCACCCCAGGGGCCACCAACCAGGTGCGCAAGGCCCAATCAGGCCAAGGCGCCCAGCGAGAACGCCCAATCTTTAGGCATTCGCCCACGGCCAGAGGCTCTGGCGAGGGCCCTGTCCAAAAAGGCTACCTCCTCCTCACTGCAAACTAACCTGACATCGGGGAAAGCCCCCCTAGGCCAGGTGGGACCAGCATAGGTACCAAGACGCGGCTGCCAGTTCGGCGGAAAGGCACGAGGTGCACGTCGAGTGATGCACCTGCGGATCGCCTTGAAGTGGTCGAGGAGGTCCCGCCCGGTGGCAGCATGTCCTACCCGCAAAGGCAGGAGATGTGGCCTCCGGCGCCACGCGACAAACGCGACTGCAAGCCCCGGCTGCAATTGTGTTGGAGCTGCCTCCCACTCAGCCTCGACGAGGAACCTGTACCACTCATCCCATGACGCTGCCCCATCCTTCCAGTCCAGAGGCTTGGAAAGAGGGGGCCAGGTCGGAACCAGCACACGAGGGCCATGGCGCGGGGGGACATGGGCAGGGGGGTGCACCAGGGCAGGGGGGGGCAGAGCGTCCACAGGGGCCGGAGCGGCGGTAGGGACACGGGTGCGCGGCAAGGCAACAAACAGGCGCTGCAACCAAAGGTGCCGGCGATAGGCAGCAACGAACAAGGCATAGAGCCGAGAAGAGGGCACCCGCAACGCAGTACGAGCAGCCTGCTTAGCCGCAAGGTCAGCAGCATGATTGCAGGCAGCGTGCAACGCCTCGGTAGGGGACTGCGCAGACCCCAGGGGAACATGCCCACGAATCCAGTGCAGCTCGAGGGAAACCCCAAGCTGGGGGCGAGCCTCACAGAGGGCCCACAAGACCTGCCACAGGTCAGCAGCAGCAACATGGGCCGGGACAGCCCCGACCTGCCGGAAGGTCCTCCAAGCGCTGACCGCAGCCTGGGAGTCCGTATGGACAGTGAGGCCACCCCGGGTGAGTTGGGCAGCCCGCAGGATGGCGTAGACCTCAGCCCGGTAATTGTCCGCAAAGACACCGGGGACCGAGCCACAGGCAATAGTGGCCCTAGTGGCAGAGACCACTGCGAAGCCAGCAGCAGCGAAGAAGGGGTGCTGCGGCAAAAAGACGCTGCCATCAGTCCACAGATGGACGTGTGTGTCCTGCGAGTAGTGGGGCCACGGGCTAGTTGTAGGCCAGGGCACCTGTGCGCAGCAAGCGGAAACCAAGTCAGGCGGTATCTCCGGCAAAGCATGACTAAAGAAGGAGGGGCCCTGAACCTCACGTTGGAGTGGGGGAGGCCCAACATCACGGGGGAGGGCCTGACAGAGAACAAGGTGGGCAATAGTTTCAACCTGACCACCACAGTAGCGACACAGGGGCGAGGACGCCATGCCAGCAGAGTACAAGCGATCGGCAGTGACAGCAGAGCCGACAACAACAGCAGGAGCGACCGGGCGGTTGCACGGGAAGGCCCTCGCAAAGGCAGTCCACTTGGGAGCCGAAGGCACCGACCAAGGAGAACGAGCCAGCGCCACATCCAACAAGCCAGTGGGACCAGGCACAATGTCGGTCCTCTTGGCACGACAGGCAACCTGATAGGCATGTTGGGCGATGGCCCACTGGAGGAGCTTCCGAAGGGAGCGGATGGACACCGTGAAGAGAGATATCCAGGGCCCCACATGGAAAGCGACAGAGGCCGGCGCACTGAAGCGCAGACCACAGGCAGTGATCGCCGCAATGAAGTTGGCCACCAGCGTGGAGGGCATGATGCGGGGGTTAGTGAAGGCAATCCTCCACTTGAGAGCGAAGGTCTCAGAACGCTGCAGGTGAGCCACCACATTAAGGATAGCCCGGTAGGGCAAGGCATAACCAGGGTGCACAAGGTGACCGCGGTACACAACCGCCAGCAACAACTCACGAGATCGCCAAGCCGGCCGCCCCTCCCACAAAGCAGAGGCGACCTCAGACGCCAGCGAGGAAAGCTGCCGCTTAGGGATAGTGTTGAGCTCCGCCGAGTAGGTGAGCATGGGCATGGCCTTTCTGGCCACGAAATTGGCCTTCGCGGCGGGGCCAAGGGGCAATGCCCCGATAGCCCGCACAGCACGCCGGAACCGGGAGATGGCCTCGGCGCGAGCGTTGCGCGTGCCACGCAAATCTAGATTAATGCAAACCCCCAGCGGCCGCAGGGAGCGCAAGCGAGGGGCCTGGGGAAAGGCCTCCTGAAGCGCAGGAGCGTAAGCCTCCTGGGTAGACCACCACCCAGATTTGTGGAGGTTGAATTGCTGGCCGGCGAGACCATCGAACAGGGAGGTGGCTTGCACAGCCAAGACAAGAGAGTCAATGGCCTCAGGGGTCACCACATTGAGGTACCCATCGTCGACATAGACCCGTGGCGAAACACCAGGGAAGTGCTTCATGAGTAAAATCCACGCCGACATCAACACGTTGGCCGCCAAGACAGAAAGAGAACAGCCCTGGGCGATTCCATTGGAGTTGCCGAGAGGCTCCTCATGGACGGCACCTCTCCAAGAAAGGAAGCGGCGGAAGCCCCTGTAGTTTCCTCTCCAGGCTTCAGCGACACCCGGAGGAAAACCCAGCGCCGTCAGCAGAGCGACGATTTGCGCAGGGAGAAGGCGATCGAAACACTTGGAGCGGTCGATTTGCACGCCCGCAAACACATCATTCGTCGCCTTCGCTTCATGGAGGTCGAGGGCGAGCTCGTGAGTGACATCGTCAACGCGGCGCCCGGAGACACCGCCCACAACCTCCTGGGGGAGCACAGTCCGCTGCCAAGCGGTAGAAGCCCGGAAGCGGGCAGAAGACCAAGCCAGGTAGGCAATGGGAAGGACCGCAATGAGGCGTTTGGCCAAGGGAGCAGGCCCCGCTCCCTTGTCCAGCACCGCGAGGCGGGCAGTGCCAAAGATGCGCGGCAGGCGCCACTCGCCAGCTTCAACACGGTTGAAGAGATGAGCCAAGACACGAAAGACCGCGACAGGCAAGGCGCGCAACTCGACCGCAGCCCAACCATCCAAACCGGAAGAGGAGTCAGGACTACGGCGGGCAACAGAAGCGGCTAGATCCTCCGGAGTGACAGCGAGGAGCACAAGAGGGACGGCACGCTGCTCCAACAGGTGCTGAATGGGACGCATGAGAGGCTCAACAGGAATGCCCTCACGGTGGACATTGAAAACCTCATTCCAGGCTGCGGCGGCGTGAGAGAGGGCCTGCGCAGGGTGAAAGGCCGGGACACCTTCCGGGCCAGCCAAGTGGTTGGAGCCGGAGGGGGTAGTGGCACGCTGGAGGTGCTGAAAGACCTCCTTGCCCGTGTGCAGCGCAGAATGACGGAGCCTCTCCTTCCACCGCTTGAAAGAAGCCTGACGGCGGGCCTGGGTAGCAACCCGGAGGGCCTCAGCCACACGCTCGCAGAGCCCAGCAGTACCCTGGGGGGTGAGGTCCTCCTCAGTGTACGGGAACCTGAGCTGCCTAGCGAGGCAACGAAACCTCCGCAAGGTGTGAAGGGTGACCGAAGCATCCGGCTGTGCAGACATGGGGAGCCGGACAAGCCGAAAGAAAAGCTCACGAGCGAGAGAGAGCAACCTGGCGTAGAGCACAACGGGGTGGGAAGTGGGCAAGGGTCTCACCAAGGGCCGCTTGGGCCGGATGGGGGGCAAAGAGCCCCGGGACCGGACGCCCCTGCCCCACCGAGCCCCACAACCCAAGAGGGTGGAGAGGGCGAACTCAGAGAAGAGTGACCAAGCTTCTTCGGCCGAGTGAACCGAAGCAAGGGCAGCCTGGTAGCGGTCAGTCCACAGGCCTTCAGCATGATCAGCACAGGCCACAGGAGGAGCAAGGGCCCCAAGGTCCAGAGGGGCAAAGCTGGCAAAGGCCATGGCACGGGGGACCTCCGACGTGGCCACCAAATGAAGGGCCACCGCAGCATGCTGGTAACCGCACAGGGGAGTGACCTCAACATGATGCAACAAGCTAGCAGCGGCCATGTTGACAAGCACAGTATCAATGGTGGTGGTGGGTGAACCTGCGGCCCAAGTTTTGTCACGGCAGAAAGTGGGCTGCCGATCCTGATCAGGCAGGGAAGGCTCGCATGGGTCAATCCACAGACCAGTGGCCAGGGCATCACTCACAGCCGGATAGTGAGTGGGGCAAGCCTGGAAGTCCCCAGCAAAAAGGACCGGGTGGTCCGGCAGGAAGGGGGCAGCAAAGTTGAAGGCCTCGGCCAAATACTCCTGGTTGCGTTGAAAGATGGTGTCGTCCGATGTGGCGCCGGAGACCCCATAAAAATTGATAGCCAGGATGCGAAGCTGACCATAGTGTATCCAGACCACCTGGAAGCGGCCGGATGAAAGCATGGAGGCAAGACAGCCAGTGACGTCCTGCTGGACTGGGAAGTCAGCAACAAGGCAACCTTGCGAAATAGCGGCAAGCCCCCCCCATTCGACCCGACGGACACCATTCACATCGGGGGTAACAGGGAGGAGGGGGCCAGGGTGGAGCTGCCTACCGGCCTCGGTAGCACGATAGGCAGAAGTCCGCACATTGTCAACCGAAAGCCGGGCTTCTTGCAGGAGCAGAAGATCAGCAGCAGACTCAAAAAGGTCAGGGTGAGCCCCAAGGGATCCAACATTGAGAGACTGGACCACGAACGGGCCTTCCCCAGGGAAGCCAAGAGTGGCATCAAAATCGCGGTACAGCACAGGGCCCACACCAGAGAAGGGACACATAGAAACCAGAAGGACAGGGAGGAACCACACGGACCAAGGCCAGTACCAGACCCAAGGCAGAACGCCAGCCCAAGCAGGGCGTCTGCCTCACAACCCAAAAAGCAACAGGAGGGCCGAGGTGGCCCTCGCCGTCAAGCCCCAAATCGCGCAGCCTTGAGTGCGGGGGCTTCCTCAACTGGTCCAGCACGGGGACCTTTGGAAACGGCCCCCAAAATCCGGGCAAGCAGCCCAAGCAGGACTTCGGCAAACCTCACAACCACAAAAAGCAACAGGAGGGCCGAGGTGGCCCTCGCCGTCAAGCCCCAAATCGCGCAGCCTTGAGTGCGGGGGCTTCCTCAACTGGTCCAGCACGGGGACCTTTGGAAACGGCCCCCAAAATCCGGGCAAGCTGAGAGGAGACTTCGGCAAACTGGGAATCCACTTTCTCAGCAAGGACGTCTTGCTTGGCCTCCAAGCCACTGAGGCGGGATTCAAGGGAATCCACCCGAGCCTGCATGGGCGAGGGCTGAGATGCGCCGCGAGCAGGAGGCCCAGTCACGGTGGGCTGAGCAGGGGGCCCCGAGCGTTGGCGGTGCTGTGACGAGCGCGCCTTGCCCGACGGCGGCTTCATGATGGGCTCAGGGGAGAGAAGGACCTCACAAGCCCGACCTGCCGAGAGGAGGGTGAACTCCAGCACGGAAGGAGCCTGGGCAAAGGCAAGAACCCACACCAAGATGCCGTTGCGGCGGAAGGATCGGAGCGGAATGCAGGGAGACCCAACGGCACGCACCACAGCATCAAGGATCGCCTCAGGAGTGGCACCGAAAGGAAGGCCCTCCGCAAGGAAGGTGATCCTCGGGACGAGGCCGCGGTTGAGATCCCCAAACCGGGGGTCATCTTGCAGGAGGGCCCGGCGGGCAGCAGCGAGATGAGCATGGGCGATGCGCACCACAATGCCCCTTTTGAGCGGGGCAAGCCCACAGAATCCATCAAGTGCCCGGGTAAGAGCCAAGGCCGATCTGATCCCCTCCGCCGAAAGGGGCCAGAAGCGGTGGATGAAGGAGTGGTCAACAGGTTCAGTGCCCCTGGCAAGGAAATCACGGACAAAGCACTGGCCGACCCCCGACAAGCGAAGTAAGGAGGGTCGGCACCGTAACGGCACCTTAATGGTGAACTGCAGCACTCGGCCAAGCCCGTGGGGAGACTGCTGAAGGACCCGGAGGGCATACACAGCCTGGACCGGATGAGATGGCTGCGCCAGTTCCAACACAGCACTAAGCTCGGAAAGAGGCTTGGCAAGCAGAGCGGGGAAGTCCGGGTTCAGGCCCTCAAAGCTCTCAACAACGAGCTCGACAAAGTCAGCAGTCTCAATGACGATCGCATCATCAACAGACGGGCGGTACAGAATCCCAGGGAAGAGGTGAACCAGAAGGACCTGCCGCTTGTAGGAAGATTGCGCCACCGGGTCAAACACAAGAATCTGCAAAGGGCCCTCAACCTGGATGGGGTCAGGCGGCTGCGGGAGCACAGCCCTGGACTGGCCAGGGACAACAAGAGCAGTAGGCCCAGGAGGGGAGAGGTCAAAGTACTCAGCCACAGCGCTAACCGGACAGAAGGCAAGGCCAGCAACAAGGGGACCAAGCTGCCCACGCGGCACCAAGGTGGGAGCCTCATCAGCGTCAGCGAGGACGAAGGCATGCTCAGAAGGGAGCAGCAGATGATCCCACTTTGCATGGGCGCGAGAATCACCCGAACCAGCGGCACGCGAGGTGAGGCCGGGCGGGGCGGCCCAGGGGTCATGCCTAACAAGGGGATCTTCCGGCAGCATCTCCTCATCATCAGACAGAGGGGGGAGAGCAGCCTCCTGGGAACCAAAGCCACCCCCGGGAAGGGGGAAGACGCGGAGGCTAATGTGGGCGTCAGCCCAGGCACCTGCCAGAGCGGAGTCAGGTACTGGTCGTCCCTGGACATATGGTCGGACATGCTGCAACAGGCGATCAGGGAGGGGCAATGACCAGATGACCTGGTGAAGGGTAGCAAGCTGAGGAACGCTGCGCGAATGCTCCCTCCTCATAGGGTCATGAAAGTGAAGAGTCACTTCAGGGGGTTCCAGCAAGACTGGAGGAGGCTGAGGACGAAGATCCTCGGGCTCCTGGGCTGGGACAACCGCAAGGATATGGCCGGAGAGATCAGAGGCGGGATCCCGCGGCATCCAAACCCTCGCAAAAGAGGACACAGCCAAACGTGGCAATGCGACAGGCGGCACACGGGCAGTAAGCAGCAGAAGCGAGACAGCTGCCCCAACAGGGTATGTAACCTCAACGCGGTGGCCCCCTGGCGAAAACAGGGCAACCCGGGCGACACCCATCCGATAGGGATAGACCATGGGTGGGTACAGCACCTCGCCAACCACAGTAGGTGGGCCCTCGATGTTGGCCCGCTGTGGCACCTGGGGGTGGAAGGCAAAGTCGACCATGGGCCCCAAGGGGCCAAGGTAGTATCGCCCTCGCACCATGGCGGCGATGAGGCTCGGGCCCTGAAGCCGTTGGTGCCAAACCTGCAGCACAAGGGGCTCGACCGGCTCATGAATGAGGTCAACCGCCTGGAGCAAGATTGCCCACGGGATGGCGGCCTGGGGGACTGAGATTGAATTCCCAAGCCCATGAAAGAGTTCCTCCAAGGGTGGGACAAGCACCAAGGGGCGAGTGGCACCCAGCCAGAGGGCCCACTGGGCTGGCGAAAGAAAGGCCGGGCGGTCCTGGAAGATTTGCAGTTGTGCGTAAAGGCCCCTCTCAGAGAGGGTAGCGGCAGCGAGGAGGTGCTGCTGGGAGTAGCGAGCGCACAGCGTGCGAAGGGGGCGATTCGCCTCAGGAAGTCTGCGCTGCAAGACCTCCTCGGGGGAGGTCGCTGGGTCAGTTGAAGACCGAGGGTAGAAGGCCGGGTTGATATAGTACTGCAAGGTGGTCTCATCCAGCAGACGAGCATGATTGATCTCAGGGGCCTCCGGGACCTCGAATGAGGGGTGGGTCCAGTCCACCGGGGCAGGATCCCTGAACTGCAAGGGTCCAGGGTGAACAGGCACCTCCAGGTCGTACCTGAGAAGCACGGCCAACCATCGGCGCCGAGCACATGGACCAAATTGGGCATGGTCATGCACCATGGAGTAGTGGATGCGGTAACCTGCCCACTGGATGGCTGCTGCCACAACAGGGTAGTGTGGGTGACTGGGGAGCCCGTCCACACACTCAAGCAACAGGGCGAGAGGAGCAACCGCACGGGCCCACGCTAACGCAGCAATGAAGGTCAGGCCATGGGGGTCAGCGAGACCATCCTGTTCCCCGGCACGGGACCACGGTGGACACGGAGGGGATGCAGTGGCGACATGAGAGCCGGTCCATGGCACGGCATGAAGGAGACCAATGTCGGAGACATCCGCAAGGATCGCAAGCTGCGCAGGGGTTGGAGTCCAACTGTTGAGCTGAGACGGGAGGGCACTGTGAACATCCAAGGTGGCAACCTGTGCAGCAACGACCAACGGAGCATGGTCCACAAGAATTTCATGGGCCAGATCCAAGCCAATGATGCCTCTCAGCGAATTCAAGGCCTGTCCCCACCCATGGAAGGCCCCAGCAAAGAGATGGCTCACAGCCAGAGGCTCCTCCAAGGGGGGCTGAGAGAGCGGCCAGACAGGCGTGTCGAGCTCCAAGCGGGCAACACGTGGCATGGTGCCAGGGACAAGAGTGACTCCCCGGGCCCGAAAGTGAGCCCCAGGGAGGGCCAACAGAGGCCCAAACACCTCAGGAGCATGGAGCTCGAATTCGAAACAGAGGCGCCTGGCCCGAGGTGTTGAGTGGAGATCAGGGGGCAGCCCGGTAGACCACAAAGAGCATCTCCACACCGCAGGCAAGGGGGCCTCCACGCGAAAGTGGATGTTGGCCACACCCCTCCAAGCAAGAGGATCAGTTTCCTGAAAGAATGGAAGCTCCGACAAGAGGGCATCCAGGACGGCCAGCGACGAAGTGGGCAGACTGCCCAAGGCCTGCAACACCACAGGGTCACGCGACAGCATGGCAACACAGACAGAGAAGCAGCAGAGCACGCCAACCAAGCCAGGACCACAGCACCGCAGGCCAAGGGGGGCCGCGCACACAAGGAGCGGGGCTGCAAGGAATGGGTACCTCGCTTTGTGGACGCTCCACCGACCCGGGAGGGTCCAGCAAAGCCCTGGGCGCACCGGTCCCTGAGGTGAAAGGCTTGGGCCTAGACACCTAAAAGGGAACCCTTTTTGGGGAAGACCATTTTTAGTGGGGCAGCCACCCAAAAAAAGAGAAAAGAAAAGGGTGCCGCTGAACAACTGACTGAGAAAACATCCGGGGCCTGGTACTCCGCAGGCCGAGACGCCATCAGAGGCGCGCTTTGCCCGAGCCCGCCATGGCCGCTGTTGCCTGACGTGCGACGCTCGGCTCATGGCTGGCGTGATCTTTTTGCTGAATCCTTTGGGAGCTTGGCATGTGCAAATCGCCAGGCACAAGGTGTAGTCAGGCACTATCCGTTCGGAAGCCTCGTTGCAAAGTTGTGCCGCGAATAAGTTTAACTCCCCCGATGATTGGGTCACCCCCTGAGTCTGAAAAGCCTCTTCGAGGCAGTCCGATGATGCGTTTCCAAATATAGGACAACCTTTTGGCGTACTCCAGCCGGTCGATTTGATGTAATCTCGTGTGACCAAGAGATGGGCGATGATATCTTCGGACATCAATGAATGAGTATATAAGTATATATATAAATAAGTACACATGTCTGCACATACATACGGTTCAGTGGTAACTAAGTTGAAGCACGCAACATGATGGGTTTACGCCCAGGTGTTGCCCGGACGTTTTACGAGTGCCCGTTTGGGATCCCAGTTGCTGGATTCTGAGGCTCAAAGCCCTATGCAGTATGCTTCCATACTTGTCTTTTTGTGACATGGGCGCTTGCCTGTGTCTTACTTTTGCGTTTTGACGCGAGGGCTCCGACCCGAAAGTGGGCGCATCCGCTTCAACCCCCGATGAGTACATGAGCGGCTGGGCTCGATTAAACCTTTCGGATCACATTGAGCAATTCACGGCCTGGGCGTCCATGCTGCATCAGCATTCTTGGCTTGACTGGAGGGTCAGCTGCGAGTATGTGGGTTCTGGGCCGAAGGCTGATGCCGGTGCGGACTGCACCGCCACAGAAGACGTCTGTGCAGCCTTAGACACGGTTGCGGGCGCTGATGCTACAGACTGCGGCGCTCACATGGGTCCTACGAGGAGGCTCCAGCCGGTAGACAGAAGCCGGAGCCCGGTTCGATCGCGTGGGGCATGGGCAGCCACACCCAGCGGCTCATGCACTCATGGGGAGTGAAGATAGTGGCCATCCACAGGCTCACGCAGTTGCGGCCACTCTCTGGACGCCCACGCGTGAAAACGCAAAAGTAAGACACAGGCAAGCGCCCATTTCCAAAATATACAAGTACGCTAGCATACTGCATACAGTAGGTCACAATCGAGCTCCCAAACGTTTTTAACTTGAACCGGGTGTTGTTCCCCCCGCACCCCGACCCCCCCTTGCAAGGGTTTGCCCGGACTTTCATGCTGCCCCGCGCATGCCGGTCCTCAGCGTGTTCGCGGCTGTAGAGGGGGGGGGGGAGGGAACGGGGGGGGATGGAAAGAACACGGGTCCATGCTTCCAGCATGTCGAGGCCAACCTGTGTTTCAAAATAGTCGATCCCAACGCCATGTGACTTCTCCGCTATCTGCATGCTCTACGCGACTGCGCAGTTCCATTTGCTTATCCGACACGCTGCCACTTTGCCGCAGGTGGTTTTAGACACGTGGTGTCTAAGAGGGCTTGGGGCCTTCTTGCGTTTGAAGGAGCTACCTTCCCGAATGCTGGTCTTTGTCGCCGCTGCGCTCTCAGTACCGAGCAGGAACGGAAGTTCTGCCAGCAAGTTATCAGCGCAGCTCATGACTTGTCTGCTTCGCGTATACAAGGCAGCCTGGCCTGGACAGCTGCATGAAAGTGTTGGTGGCATTCTGAAGGTCTCTCACTAAGAGAGGCAAGCCACAGTCCTGGCGCCTGCTTCGAGCAAATGAGAATGCTGCGCCTGCTATTCGCATAGGAATGGCACAATTCCCAACTCACGTCCAAGAGTGACTGTCATTCGGTCCGGGCAACCCCCCTTTGCCCGGCAACCCAACATGTTGGTTCTACGGCCAAAAAACACCACATGTAAAACGCCCGGGCAACACCTGTCCGAAGAGCCAACATGATGTACGACGGTATGTGTTGAAGAGGCAGGTACTGTAATCTTCAAACATTGGCTTCATGTTGGTTCCCTTTTGAAAGTTGCCCAAACAAATCCCCCAGTTTTGACAAACAGCCATGTTTTCTTGCATCCGGGGGAGCTCTCAACATGGGCCATCGCGGCTAACCGGCCGCTTGAGCAAGTGCAATCAAACGACTTGTGACTGCGGGTAACTGAACACCCTTGACAAGTCCCCAGTCCCTGTGGTACATGTTCAAGGATACCTGACACAGGCAATGTTAGCTTCCATGCGAATGTGTGAAAGGATTCGCACCATTCCCTAGGTTCCTTCGAGTTGAACTGTCATGAAAGTGGAGTGTTTGTCCCTCACCGCATGGGGAACTCATTTTGCATGGTGGTTGAAGAGAAAACGAAAGGGAACCGGTCACTGCTTGGGTGTGAATTCAATTGCGGGGACCCCCCTCCGGATCAGTTACCTGTTTTTGAGGGTGTTCCAACAATGAACTGTCATGGTTCTCAAACTAGGAGTTCTCTACCATGGCTGGTGTCCTTCCATTTCCCTTCAAAATCCAACACCGGGTCCACCATTTTGAGAAACTCCCAGTTGGGATCACACACACACACACGCCAGCTTTCGGTCATGATCCTGGTTGCCCGAGCCTGGAGAGTACGATGGCGTGTACACCGCCTCAGGGTGTCCATTTCCACCCGAAAACCATCACCCCACGGGGTTGACAAACGACGGCCTTTCCAACGGGCGAGGTCGCCAGCCCAACGGAAGCCACAGATTGGAACAACATGCAGGAGGATGACGACGGGCTGCAGCAACAACTCCAGCGTGCGGAGCACCTGACAATGACCCTTGACCGTGTCAATGTTCGTGATTCTGACTCTGAGCTGAGCGGAATCTCAGATGAGGATGATGAGGAGGAGCCGGATGACAAAATGTCACAGAAGGACGAGGACCAAGACGAGCACCAGGACCAAGATGAGTGGCGGTGGATGCCGCTTGAGTCAGGTCGATGGCAAGGAGCACAATTGCTGCGATTGGAGAGGCAGTGGCAGGACGCCGGGTTCCCAAAGCTCGGCACTGAGGCAGGCGATTGGTTCCACACACAAATTACAGCAGCGGAGACGGCCTATGTCACTGTGACAGGCATCTATGACCACATGCCTGACCCGGATGGTGGAATTGCGGCGGAAGACGCGGTCGCGCGTGAGAACGCGATTCAAGAGATCCCGAATCATTGGGCTGCCCTTCAGAACTCGGGGAAGCCAGAAAGCGACAAAGAGACTCGCGCCGGTGCACAGGATGCATTCCAGCGGCACCTACACCTATACACAATGGGTCGCTGCTGGATATATTGCCGCGCAGTTCCGCCGGCTGCCACGGGCGCCAAAATTCCCCAAGGGCCAACGCTGGTACAACTACCGGGGACAATGGCTTAAAGTCACCTTCAACGACGGCATTGAGTGGTGGACTGATGATCCATGCACAAAGCAGGAGCTGGCTGACGTAAAGGAATGGTTCCTGGGCCTCGAAAAGGTCAAAAACTGAACTGCGTCGCCGCAGTCAGTTTTTTGAATCATTGCTTGCGAAGCCTTTGTACAGCTGACAGCTTCGGAAGCGGTCGCACTTCAAGCACACAGTCCCGCAGAGGTGCCCGGAAGGTTGCTTCAACCAAAGGTATGCACACAAACACAATCAACACACAAGTAGGCCGATCAACAGAATACAATTCACACGCAGGCGCGCACACAGAGACAGACAAAAAAGAGATGCACAACCAAATTAAACACGCAAGCTAAGAGAAACCCAGAGAGGGAGAGAGAGAGAGAGAGAGTCTGATAACAACGAAGGTTAACTGTGGTCAGCTTGTGACAAACATGCTCAAGTATGTTGCTTGAACTGAAGCTCCAACGTTTGACGTACCTTAAACGCCGACGTGGCAGTTGCTGTATGTGTTGTAAAAGTTTTGAGACTATCACTGGCCGCACGTCCTAAATTTCAGTCCTGGGTAAACCGGCCTGGCATGAGTATGGGAATGCATTGCTTAGTGGCTCTGCCAAATGGACAGTGAGGCTAAGCGTGGCCTCTCACATATCCTTCCCATATTTTCCAGGTCCTGGCTGGTAAGCAATCATTACGTGCTATTTGGCACCCGGAGACATGGTACGTTGCTCAACCATGGCATCTGTTCACTTTGTTCCAGCATCCCATCCACCACGACGCAAGGCCTGGCAAAGGCGATTTGCAAAGGCAGTTCCGCATGCCGGGCACGCCAATGGCAACATGAGTCTGCATATATGGGTGTGAATCTTCAATGGGGCGCTCTTTGGTGGACATGATTTGTTTGCGGATTCAGGTCCAACAACTGTTGAGCTGGCACCCTATTAAAACCTCACAGCCCAATCTTGGACAACTTGCACCCGAAATCACACGGCGAGCTGCACCCAGGCCAAGCCAACTGTTCCCAGCTCACCGAGGCAACTTGAGCAATGGACACCACTCCAAAACCTGCAGTCTCTACCATGCGGGCAGCCCCCAAAACACAAAAGCTTTCCTCTCCTCGCTTAGATCCCCATGTCGCTATCACCCCACTAAGGAGAAACTCGATCAAAAGCTGATGGAAAGCTTGGCCGAAATGGGTCGCTGGGATTTGGAAGTGAACTCGAGGCTCCGCACTCTGGCGCCCTGCTGAGCCTGGGAGGACTCGCTATGATCAACGCAGTTGGGCGAATCATTCACCGATCCTAAATGGCCATGGGTCAAAATCCCGTAGCCCAGCGAACATCCCAGTCCCCACAAAAAATAGATTGAAATGGGTGGTGCACCTACCCAAAAGGGTACCATTGGTTCTGACCCGCAGCCAAATAAGGGATCCCCAAGTGAAGAACCTTCATCTGTGAGGTTGCAACCGGGGACCCCTGTAGGTGAGGTTGCAACTATCTGCATCCCAGGTTCGCATCGTGTCGAATGGGTGTGGAAACAAGTTCACAAGATGAGCAGCCCGGCTTGCCCTTCATGTCATTTTTCTGTCAGTTGTCCTGTGTGCGATGCTTGTCCAAAGTGTCGCCCCCTTCAACCTCCGTTTTCTCGCTGGGTGCAAGATACTCCAACGCCACCAAATGACATGAGCAAAGTGAAGTGCAAGAAGGACCATATCAACCCCTCCGGATTGAGGAGTGGTGCTCCTGTGAGCGGGAAGATAGGGGAATCTGCCTGATGGTGCGGTCTTTGTCATGTCATCATTCCCCAGTTGGCATTGATGTCATCGAAGATACTCACTTTCCTGTCTATTCCAAATTGATACCTTTCGATACCTTTCGGCCATTCCCAAAGAATCTTGCCGAGAAAACGTATATCCTGAGTGCCTGACCGGAGGCATCGGCATCGCGCTCCCTTGTGCGGAATAGTAACCTGGCAAAGCGGCTCAAGCTCAGACAAGGATCCTTTTACGAAACAAGAAGCGCCGCTTCCTTTGGTATGGAGCGAATCCATCGCATGAGTGAGTACAACAGGTATCCCCCCAATGACTTGGTTGATAAACTGGCGGTGTCCGTGGTCGAAATCATTCACTTTCGGGAAAGACCCCCTCAATCAAGCCGATCAAACGGGAATCGCATTGTGACCTTCCTCAACTGGATGAGTATTTGCAGTAAAGGACCTTCATCACGCGGGCCGAGCTTGTCATCCCCCATAACTTGTGCATCAGGGGACTCTTTCCCAAGGTGCCAAAACTTGAGACAAATCAATCCCCAGCAAACTGGGTTCTCTGCATGAGATAAGATGCTGACAGTGGTTGCTATTCCGGATAGCAGAGGCTTGGCCTTGCCGGCATAAATATGGATTGGAGGTACATGAAAAAGACCGTCGGTCCTTGCCCCGCCTTGAGCCGGCATGTAGCCGTAGCCCATGGGCTGGGCCGACGCAGAAGCCACCTGACATTGGCGAACAAAACAACGTACCTTTTGCGGGCCTAAATATTTCGCATGAGCTGCGTTGCTTTATTTCTATACATGCAGTCATCATAACAATTCAACAGTCTGATCAAGCATAAATTGTTGACCCCTGATCCGACGGGAAGAAACACGTAGATCCTGCGACCGTCAGCGGGAATCTTCTTTCTGCCTGTCCCAAATTCAACCGATGTGCGCTGTGGTCCAGTTGCAACTGGTGACCCTGGCAGAAACACATTTTCGGGGGGTCGATCATTTTTAGTGGGTCCCCAACCCACCAAACAAAAGGAACAAAAGGTGACACGAACCACTGTTCCACGCACTTTTCTCCAGAACAGCTGTTTTTCCACAAGCGCATCCTGGCACCGACCATCTCGCCGCTCGCCGAAACGTTTCGGTGTTCGGCTCCCGGCCATGCCTGCGATTGCATGGGTACCATCTTCTGTGCCATGGCCCTGAGAGCCGCCTGGTGCTCGACATTCCTGGCTGGCTTCCTAGAAATGGGGGTTACATGGGCGTGTCTACGGCATCGCTTGTGGTGTGGCCTGCAACAAGGGCCTGAAAAAGCGATGGACTTGTCTTTGGCATTGGTGTAAAACAAACCGGTTTCGGGTGCCCTTTTCCAAGAAAACAAACACGTGCTGGGGGCATCCGAAACAACGTTGACATGAGCAACGGACAACATGTTGTTTCCCCAAAGAACATGGCAACATGCGCGGTCTTGACACCTGGCTTTGTAGAGGCGTACTCAGTCACCTCTAGTCTTTGACTCCTGTAACAAGCATGATTAGCTAACGCGCAAAGAACAAGGGGCCGTTTCCAAACCATGATAGTGGAAATCCCTTGAGCTTTAGTTTAACCCTGCTTGGATTACAACAAAAGCACTTGAGGTCTCTTACAGGAACCACCTTAACACGGAAGATAGCCAGAAACACCTCAGGGATGGCAAAAGCCACGCCGCACACCCACACAAGCCCCAGGTAGAACGTGCGGTTGAGCTTCCCCATACGCTTTCTAGGGGGTGCCAGGTGCTAGGAGACATCGGAGACGTGGCACTCGGGGACACATTGCTGTCTGGTGAAGCAGTCACGTTCAAAACCATCAAAAGGCCTTGCAGGCAAACCAAAGAACTACCAAGTCAAGTGTGCATCTTTAAGTGTCACACATGGGCAAAGGATTTCCCTACCCATGCACACGGGAAGTGAGCTTTGGGGCACCATCTTTGGCTTCTCCAAATGGTCGACTCAAAGCAATCCACAGGCTGAAGGCTATGGTGTTAACATGAGACATCCCAGAGGAGGAATTTTAGGCTTACTGCTCGAAAGGAAACCAACAATTCGCCGATGCCCAACAGCCACTGTGAAACTACGCCGCAAGTGTCCAAACAGCATGCCAGCGTGGAGTGTGCAAGGAACAAGGGCAAAAATCAGAAGGAGCCGGAAGAACAACATAACTCTGGGAAGCTTGAGGTGACCCGGCTTAGCCAGGAGCCAGGTAACGCTTGCACGTTGATTTCATGCCAAAAGCGCCTCTTTTACAACACGGCATTGCACCCTAAGGAGATGACTCAATACGGTAGAGCTGGAAACAGCGAAAAAAAACATACTTCCCAGCATGCATAAACCCAGGGCTGTTGAGAGGGCATCTCAGGACCCTCCGCACTGGAGTTCAACACGGGGTATGCAAATGGAACAGGGCAAGCAACAAAACCAGGAAGGGACACGGGTTTGTCTCAAAATTGGGGAACCCAGAAAATTGTTTGATTCTTTTGGCTTCCTCGAACCAACCAAAACGAGGTTCTCCCAAAAAGACACACCCACGTGAGGAACACCCCCATGAGGCACGGTTGATAGATGGGTCTCCATCAGAAGGCCTCGCGTCAGGGACAAAGCTCATAAATAGAAGCACCCTGTTCTTGAAGCCCTGGGCAAGAACGAAGCCGGTTAGAACGAAAGCGCATCGTGGACAACCAAATTACTATAATTCCAAACACGTGGCTGGACGGTGTTTTCGGGGCTCGTCTGCCACAGTCTGGGCGGCTGTCGTGTGCAACACCCAGTAACGGCCTTCATGGGAAAAGGCGAGCTACCCCCAGCTGAACTGGTTCTAATTTGCAGAGATTCCCTCTCTCTTTTTTCGACCGACGGAATACCCTCGGCCTCTCTTCACGCAGCCTCCTCTCGATGATTTCCTTGCGCAGCAAAGAGCAATCTCCCCTTCTTCTGTCTACCCCAGAATACATCCAATTGTCTCCCACGCGGCTCGCGCCCAAACCGCAGGCCTTCAGAGGATGGCAGGAGTTCCCGAGCCAGAAAACCTGTGGGACTGCGCCCAGCCAAGCCCAGCTGCTTCGATTCGGACACTTTTCGCTGGTGCATGCGACCTTTAAGCACCTGAATGTAAGGTGCCAAGACAAAATCGGCACTGTCGCCTGCAGAAAAACGGAAAGAGGCTGCCCCAGGAAGGGACGGAGCACGCGGATGCCCAGGAAGGGACGGCACACAGGTCGACGCCTTCTGATGGCCCAATCAAAGCAACCCACAGTTGGGGACCGGCACCCACAGGCGAAGTCAATATCCGAGCCACCTTGGAATCTGACATAGCTGCTGTTGGTTACATCCGAGCTGCTGAGAGTCAAACTCGCGCAAAAATATAATTGTTCAGAGGCACCTTCCAGGTTCCATCCGCAGAAAAAGGCCGACAACTGATGGGCAGCTTGGCAGTTTGCCATCCTTTGGCAGAATGCCGCGAAACGTCAGTGTACATATGAGAGTACGGGGAAGAAGAAGAAGAAGAAGAAGAAGAAGAAGAAGAAGAAGAAACATGACACACACACACACAGTTTCACAGGTGGGGGTGTCTTTTTTGAGGGTACCCTGTTGGGATTGGTACAAAGGGACACCAGAGGAAAACCATGCCTTTTTGGGGTGCTCTGAAACATTACTACCTCTAGAATGCACGCAACGACGCCGCACCGGTCCCCAAATCCGGACGACCCTCTTAGACAGCGAGAACCCTTCATGCGCTTACCGAAAAGCGAGCCACCCCTTCGTGAGGTCCGGATTAATCAGCGTGTATCACTAAGTCACTGGATGGGAAAGGGAGGAATTTCAACCGCTGTCCATGCAGTACGCAAGCGCTCAACCATGTTACAAATAAGCCCCCATTAGTATCCGCTCCGGGCTCAAATTTGGGTAGTTGATGGATGAACGTAGCACACGACTTACGGTTTCGCAGCTCCGCTTCAAATCTCGCAAATGTTCTCGGCGAAGAGTTATGTTGGGGCTGGCATATCATGTCATCTTGAAGCTTGCTTTTGTTCAGTGGAGCTGGTGACACTTGTCCCGCTATGGTTCTTGGTTGTGTGTTCCGCGGCATGTTCTAGCTTACGCTGATCTATGGCAACAACACACACACACACACACACACACACACACACACACACACACACACACACACACACACACACACACACACACACACACACACACACACACACACACACACACACACACACACACACACACACACACACACACACCCACACCCACACCCACACCCACACCCACACCCACACCCACACCCACACCCACACCCACACACACCCACACCCACACCCACACCCACACCCACACCCACACCCACACCCACACCCACACCCACACCCACACACACACACACACACACACACACACACACACACACACACACACACACACACACACACACACACACACACACACCACACACACACACACACGCCCACACACGCCCCACACACGCCCACACGCCCACACGCCCACACGCCCACACGCCCACACGCCCACACGCCCACACACGCCCACACGCCCACACGCCCACACGCCCACACGCCCACACGCCCACACGCCCACACGCCCACACGCCCACACGCCCACACGCCCACACGCCCACACGCCCACACGCCCACACACACACACACACCACACACACCACACACACACCACACACACCACACACACCACACACACCACACACACACCACACACACACACACACACCACACACAGCACACACAGCACACACACACACACACCACACACACCACACACACCACACACACCACACACACACACACCCGCGCGCACGCACACAGCAACCACTCAATGCACCTAGGTTCGCATGCAAGCGCGCAGGCGCACAACGCAACTATTCACTGCACATACTTCATGGTGCCAACACAGTTCACTTCACAAGAAGAGCCTCTCGCAGCGTTGGTTGCGTTGCGCGCAGTCATGTCGCGTAACAAATTTAAAGACCTCGAAGAAATCTTGTGAGCAATCTTGAGAAGCTGCCAGCAAAGGGCAGCTCTATTTTGTTGGCACTTCTTGCACGCGGCAAGAAGGCCAAAGACGTAGAGAGGGTTGGCAGGAATTGCAAGTCCGCAATCCCAAAAACAATATTTTGGTTGCAGGGCAAAAATATTGGATCCACGCGTTGGAGGCGCAGATTTGCAGGGACGTGCTTCATGCGCGGAAATCTGTGGATGCATTCTGCGAGCTGCACGCATTTGCCCAGCCGCCATTTCAGGCGACTGACTCCGGCAGCTGTTAAGTGACGCACTTCGTTGCCTTCAAGCAGATCTGAGCAGGTTACACGATGGCAATGCGTGAACTTCTTGTGAGCTGCATGTCTGAGGCGACTGTCCGCCAGCCAGGTACGACAGTTCGGACTGCCTTCCGCCGCGGCAAAGAGTCTTGGCTAGTGTGGAAAAAGAAGACAGGGGGGCGCTGTGGAATCGGGCATGGGCGGCACACCATGTTCCGATAGGCACTTTGTTCATTTGGAAATGTCCATGATCCAGCTTCGCTGGAGCATGCCTCGTGATACTCAGCTAAGGCCTTTCCCTGAAGGGGCCCCCAAGAGGCTGGCTTTCGTGAGAAACTGCCCATCCTCTGCTAATCTTGACTCCGAAAGCCGATCCCCGAAAGGTTGGAAAGAGTGCGAAACCTTGAAAGCAGGCAATGGGGACCATGACATAAAGTCAACTTCAAACAGCAACTCAACAGCACACCCTGACCACCCAATGCATGCTTATTGCCCTGCAAGATGGGAGTCTCACTTTCTTTGCTTCAATAGGTACTCCGGCAACTCTTAACATTTCCCCGGGCTCACTGCCCAGGAGTACTAACTGGAATTGACACACATAGAAACTTCTGCACAGCTCACTATAATTCACGTATATACCCGAAGAAGGAATACCCCGGGAAGCTTCTGACCATGCGCAGGTCGCAAACACCAAACCTGTGCGAGGTCACGATGAATCTTCCCCAGAAACATCATCCTCCCCGCATCCGCGTAGCATCCGCCTCCAGGTCTTTCTTCTTGGAAGCGACACCCTCGGCGTGCTTTGAAGCTCCACGCCTGTGCCAGGACGATTCATAGCAACCAGCTCGAAACTATACAGGAAGCCAAACATCTACCGAGGTTGGGCCAAGTTACTGCAGAATTTCCTGTAGCCGTTCCTTCCAGTCGAAGGAGCTTCTGCTTATGTGTGTGTGTGCAATGAAATTTCCAAATTTGGAGGGTGCCTGGGTGCTAAACACAGCCAGGTTCTTGGTGGAGTCAGGCTTGAGCACTGGGCTTGCTTGGCTTTGACCAACTCATTGTCAACTGCAGACCCCAAAACCTGCTGCCATAAGGGTATCCACACGAAGAAAAACACGACAAACAGGTCGGTTTGTTCAGGTCAGTTTGTGCACCAAGGCGTGGGTTGCCAGTGGATGGTACCTGGCCATACGCAGATTTGCTTCTACCAGTTCCTCTGGCCTCACCACAAGAAATTGGGCCCAAACTAAAGCAAGAGGACAGCACCAAGGGAACACAAGCTGCCAGCGGTTGCATGAGCACGCGGCACCTCATGTGTGAATGTAATGCGGCTGAACAACTGCACCCTTCCGCAGAAACCCGGTGCGTGAATCATCGCAGCCGTTTGCAAGACTGTGAGCACCTTGCCTGTCCGCATAGACCATTGCGCCAGCAATCAGGACGAGTAAGGCTACCTCGAGTCAAGTCCAATCTGGCAAGGCAAAGCAACCATCAGGCAAGAACTGAATGTCGCCTGCGGCTTGGTGAGTCCCGCCCTTTGTAGTGAGTCCTCAACTTTACATTCCCTGCCCTTGCGCATCTATCCCAGTTGCGACACCTGGCCCGACCTTCGCAGCCTAGAAATGGCTATGATGCTCCCGACAGGGTTGGGCAAAACATGAGACATCAGACCCTCTCCTTAAAGGGAGACCAAGAGGTTGTTTGATCAATGTGCCAAAAAGGGCACAACTTCTGTACCTCGCACGCGGGACTATAGCTTCCACTATCTGAATACGAAACAGTGAACGCAATATCAAAAATATATTGAACGCACATGGCAAATGCAAGAGCTGTCATAAGTTTGCTATCTGTTTGTCTCAATGCCCCGTAGGTCACGGTCAACAAATGGCAGCGGGACTCGCGCTCCTTTGTCTTCTCACTCGCTATGGGATACATTAGCCAAACATAACTCTTTTGGGTTCATACCCTGTGTCAACACGTCGCATCATAAGCCCTTGACTTCAGAAACACCAACACCAGTTGGGTCCAAAGGCACACAGAGACGCACACAGAGACGCACACAGAGACGCACACAGAGACGCACGCACACACACGCCCACACACACACACCACAGAGACTCGCATGTGGGAGTTGTCAAACAGAAGGCTGCTTTTGGGACCCGCTTGGGCATTTTTGTTGCTTCCTGCAAGAGCCCCCCGTGAGGTTAGGTCAACATTGCTTGTAGTCTATGGTTCATTTGGGAGGGACATGGGCGACTCGCTGCATGTCCCACAAAACCATGCAGACGAGCCCTAAACTTCACCGTGTCCTTTAGGGGAAACCTTCGTAAAACCTGCGTAACTTTGACCATGGCTGTATCTGGACATTTGGCGAAGCGATGCTGTCGGACTCATCTCAACCTTGTGTGGCCCTATGGAACCAGTCTCCGCAACACATTGGCCCCTTTGGGGCACGATGCTTGCGTCTCGGGATGAACCCTGCCACGGGGGACCCTGTTTCCAACCTCCAATTAACGGGTTACCTCACTGCTTGGTATACCCTGTGGTAACAAACCACAATCAAGCCCTCCTGCGTCCTCCAAACGGTGTGCCACAGGAATCAACCAGCCCGGAAATTCCCGGACCCCTGCATTTTCAACATGGCTCCGAAAGGAAACTCAGTCGAAATTCGCCCAAAGGTTCAATCACTTGTCAAGACCACAGCGGGAAATCTGTACCCTGGACCCTGGCACTTTTTTGTGCCATTGGCCTCTTGGGGCGCAGCGAGAAGGCAAAGACAAGCAAAGGCCAGTTCGCCCACAAAGACCTGACGCGTTTGACTTCTTGCACATGGGAATGTCTCAAAATGGTGGATCCCCTGTTGGTTTGACCTTGAGCCCACCACCAATCGGTACTGTCAGAAAACAAAGCAAACAAACCAACTCCGGGTCGCTGGCCACGATAGTTTTCTTTGGCGCTTGGATTTGTTGATAGTGTGTCCGTATTCACGTATCCACGGAGAAGCACAGTTCAAAACAGTGTCACGATGCATTGCCGCAGTGGCATTCAACATCACCAAGACCAGGACAATTTTGTGACATTGATCGACTTTAGAGTTCTCATCTTCAGCCTTTTCTTCAGGCACCACTCGCCATGTTCAGCCTGATTTGATTGTTAGGCATCACTCGCGCTGTTCAGCGTTCTACTACTACTGTGGTCGCAGGAAGTTGCCTCAACTTCTGGCCGAGATCCTTGCCCCCATGGAACGCTGCACATCAACAACCCCGGAATCGTGGCACATGTTTGTGAGTGCTTTCAACATCAAATCCCCAATGCACATGTTGCAATTCGGGTCTGCAAACACACACCATTCCATCCCCATGTGTATTGCTAAATTCCGTTATTTATCTGATGCAAAGTAAGATGTGCCTCGAGTCTACCAAGTTTCCTGTACATCAAATACGGAGACTGGAAAAAACCCTGTCTATCCAATGCTGAGTGCTTCTAGTCTAGGACTCTAGGAGAATGCAAACGTGGTCTGGCTACTGCCATCCCGCACACCGTGGCCTAAGCCTAGCAAGCAAATGTTACACAGGAAGAGCACACACGCACACACGCACGCACACAGGCAGGCCCGCCCGCCCGCCCGCCCGCACGCGATCCGCCTTCTGGTGGCCATTCGGCACGCTCGTGTGGTGAAAGGCAAACTTCTTGCCACGTTTTGTGTCTCGTTTTGTTGAACAGGAGGAATTGAACAAACACCAGAATATACCTTTGAAGTTGTATATTTGCTGTCAGGCTTTTGAAATAAAATAAGACGCTGTTGGGGCTTTTAGCCCCCAGCGTGGGAAGATGTAAAACGTATCCCAAGTTGACCTGAGGCTGATCCGTGTTCCAATCGTTTTCCGAAATAATCAAGCTTCATACTTGGGTTTCGGGCTTAGGCCGCGCTGTAAAACACGCATGCCAATGCACACGCGCTCACACACACAGTCGCAGACACTGTTGTTTCCTTTACGTACCAATCGACCGCAAACATGTATTCTAATTTTCCCGGGTGCCAAGCGTGTGGCGAGGCAAAACAACCTATCCCATAGCATCCGCTTTGGTTTCCTCTAGGGACAACAACAATAACAAATCAGCGCCCAGCCTTCCGGTTTCCAAATCGGTTCCTTAACCCCGCTTTCCGGGCGCCCGGCTTGTCTTCGCTGAGATTCTGTCATGCCCCCTGCGCCGCTGAAAGCAAGGCAAGTGGCCACGGCTCAGGCATTTGGTCGACAGCGGGTTGCCCTTGGACTGGAGGTGGCAAAACAGAAAACACAGCCTTTGGTGTGAATATGGGTGTGAACTTGAATCAGGGGCCTTTGGTGGACATCCTGTGGGTTGGCTTTCATGGCCAGCCACTTTTGAAATTTTGGTTCCCCATTGAATTTCATAGCCATATTTCATACCCAATGTCACATTCATTGTTGTTTCTCACCGCCAGGGCCCAAGGGGCTTTGGCCCAATGGCGCACAGCACAATGCTCACGTGGCCAGGAACACAACAACAAGCCACAAAAAGTTCAACTGAAAATAAAAGTCCCCACCTTTTCAATTCAGCATCTGAGTGACTGCACATGCCTACAGGTCAATCCGTTGACAAAATCGGCTTCCGGCCTTCCATTCCAGGAACCTCCTGGTCGGGGCACCTGGGTGTATGTGCCAGCGTAGGCCGGTTGAAACGAGCGCCGATTTGGCTTTAGCGATACTTGCCGATTGTTTCCAGGGTTCCCTCATTTCTAAAAGAACTCACAGAAGGAAACTCACCTTGGATGTAAAAACTGGCTGACGCTGGGCCTGCGGGCAACCGGCGACCACTCATTTCACCCATCGATCGGGGTTCGGACAAGCGCATTTTTTTGGGGGGATGGAGCCGGCGGCAAGTGGGCTCTAAAGGGAGAGCTGAGCTGAGAGTCTCGATTCCTTCCGGGTCAAACTCGCCATAGGTTCTGATGTAAACAACTGGTGGGGGGAACGAGAAGTGTCCACATTGCTATTGCTAGCTCCCCGTTCCGGCGTGGGTGGCAAATAGGGAGCTGGGAAAAAAACAGCAAGGCCTCGTGAACTTGTGATGTAGATAGGGGACCCCCAAAACGGTTTCCTTTGACTTCCTTTCAGACATCATAATGTAGTTCCCAGCAATGTGACCAGGTGAGCTAGGCCTCTTTTGATGCTGTGCTCCTGCCGCCTGTGCATGCTTTGGACATATGCGCAGTCCAACTAAAACTAAGGACCCAGTTGATAGATGGTTTGCAAGGCGAAACAAGTTTGGGGTGACCCGGCTTTCATGCTCCTATTCTTAGTGGAGAACAAAAGCAATCACTGACAGCTGGAACAGTCTTCCTATCAACTCCTCACTGCGGAGAGTGTTTCCATGAGGTTTGTACCACGCAGTGGACGTGCAGCTTGGTCAAAATGGTCTGTTATCTTAGCGGTTGCGGTTGGACACCTTTGTATCCCTGAGCTGCCTGGCGTTTGAGGCGCTTTGAGAAACGCCAAGCACACAACATCCGATACAAGATACCGCCCGACGCAATCAAATATCACCTTGCAATAGGGCACACTTAAAACACAAGTTGTTTGCTGTGCACACCGCCTGTACGCTGCAACGTGCGGCTTTTTGTTTCACAAGCGAGAGCTTGTGGCCGGCCGCAGCATCGCATACACTGCCAGGCTCCTGCCAAAGGGAAATGGCAGCCACCCCTAAAAGCTGAGGAAAGGTGCGGGCTCAAGTCTTCCTCACAAAAGGGAACCTTGTCAGACTCCAACATGTCTACCTCCGACCTCCCCAATATATTCAGCTCATCGCCAAATGCTGAGTTACTCAGGTTCTGGAGTAACCCCACCTTCCTATTATCGGTGAAGTTTCCTCTAAAAACACATGTTCTTCTCGAGGTCCAAATATGGCCCCTCAACAAAGGCAGATTTCAACAACAAGCATTCCACAAATATGATCCGAAACAACATACAGCTCAAACAAAACTACGCCAACACTCAATCAATACGAACCGACATTACGATACTGCATCAACCATGCTTAACCAATACTAGACCAACATTGAATCAACAGGAGAGAATTGGAGAAAGGGGAGGAGCGATGCGGGGCCAAGAGGATCTCATTCCGACAACAGAACAGCCGCCAGCTCCAGATCAACAATTGTTGCCTGAAATGATTGCTTTTTTGCGTATGAGCAGGGGGATGCGTGTCTGATTGGCGGCCAGGAATTAAGCAAGCCAATCTGCAGTACATGCTAAATAATCTGCATGCTCCGCTTGAATATGATTCTGTCACATCGTTCATACCAAACCCTAGAAAGTTCTGAAACGCGACCCGCACGACACGCTAAAGCAGAACCGTCGCTTAAACACGCCACTCCTTGCTGTGGAAAATAAAGGCCTCCAACATGTTGGGCTGACATTCCGCTAAGCGCCGTGAAGTAAAGGCCAAGGATTCGGGTGCAGAAACTCGAGCCGGGCCATCTGCAAAAAGAAACGACGGCACATCGAACATGTACCACGCAAAGCAAAAAGCAATCCAAACAGGACCTGGCTGATCATAAGGCGGTTATTATTGGGGATCAAAGGGACGCCCAAAGAGATGTTTAACCGACGCTCTGGCAGGAAACCTCGCAGAAGACTTGTCAAGTCATTGCCTGTCTCCTCTCATAGGAAACAAAGGCTATCTTTGTTCGCCCTTCTCAATTTGAGCAAACCAAAGATCTCGATGCCCCAGGAAAGGTTTGGAAGGAATCCTCTCAGAAAAGGGTTCTTAGAAGGGTTCAGAACTTTGGCCATAATATCCTTCTTGATGAAAGAAATCTTCCCAGCTTGGTTGGTGTTTGGCCCCTGCAAGAGTGACCCCTGTTTCCAGCAAGGAAACAACGAATTGTGCGAAGCGTTCACTGGCAGATGGAAGGTGAAGCCAAAACGCAGCCAATGGAGGTTTTGCCCAAAGTCCAAAGGATGGGACTTGGCAAACGAAACGCAAGCTGCTCCTGGCTTCAGCCTCCTCGGTGACGACAACCTCAGGCGCCAGCGGCTTGCATGTGCAAACATCTGGGCCCGGCCCGAAATGGGAGGACCCTTTGTGGCGGAGCTTTCAACGGAACAAGGAAGCCTCATGCTGGATGTGTCCCCAAATGTGAGAAGCATCCGTATGCCTCGAGGAACGATCAATGCAAATGAATTCTGCCTTCCACAGGCCAGAAGGATACCACGGCATAGCCTTTGTTGAACTCCTGCTCTTAGGTAGCCTTGAAGGTTGCAACAAGGTTCTCTTAGGAGCTCTGCAGTAATTGCATAGAAACTGGCGCTGTTCAAACCATGTTGTCAAACGCCTCGCTGACCACGCGTACATGAAAGCCCCTCATCAAAGTGCTCTGCAGGCTATGCTGAGCATACTGCATCTCTTTCCAGCTTGAAGCTTTTCTTGGCATAGATTTCCACGTTCGTCGACAACGCAGTTTCCTGCATCGCTGAGGCACGCCGTGGCAGAATCCTCGCTCAACCTTCAAGGTCTCTGCCCAAAGCACAGGGGGTTTTAGAGTGTGCGACCACCTTGCCCTTTGTCAGCATTGTGACAAGAAGGATCTAATAATGCTTGCGGCAAGCCATAGAATAACTGGAGTCCATTCTAACATGGGCAGTTTTTCCTGGTGGAATTGCAGAGCGTAATGGTCAAATGCTGGAAGGCAGTCTCAAGAAAGCAAGTTTAGAAGGAACTTCAGTGTTGCGGCATTCAAGCTAGCCTCTGAGATAGATGACAAGAGAAGGAATAGGCACACGAGAAAAAATAGCGCGTGCGTGTGCGGGAGAATATAGATGCGCAAAATGCGTGGTCCTGTTTTAAATAACGTCTCCGGAGAGCTGAAAACTAGCCTGTTCACGGCACCTGGCCGGAGTGCGTTCAGAGCACGTTCGGAGCGTGGGCCTATTGGCACGGCAACGCGAAGGTTTCGCAAGGCTTCAGTTGCGTGGCAAGCACAGCACTTTCGAAAGGTAAGGTGCAGATTTCATGGCAGGCGCGGCCAAGGTGAGGTACAGATTTCGTGGTCAAACATATTTCGTGGCAGGTACAGCACTTTCGCAAGGTCAAGTGCAGATTTCGTGGCAGGCGCAGCACTTTCACAAAGTCAAGTACAGATTTCATGGCAGGGACAGCACTTTTGCAAGGTGAGGTCCAGATCTAGGCGCAGCACTTTCGCACAGTCAGGTACGGATTTCGTGTCAGGCGCAGCACGTTTGCAAGGCAGGCGCAGCACTTTCACAAGGTCGAATACACAGTTCGTGGCAGGCGCAGAACTTTCGCACGGTCGAGCGCAGAGTTCGTGGCAGGCGCAGCACTTTCGCAAGGTTAGGGGCAGATACATAGATAGGTGGAGAGGTAGTCAGGTAGGTCGATAGATAGCCAGATAGCTAGATAGATAGATAGACAGATAGATAGATAGATAGATAGATAGATAGATAGATAGATAGATAGATAGATAGATAGATAGATAGATAGATAGATAGATAGATAGATAGATAGATAGATAGATAGATAGATAGATAGATAGATAGATAGATAGATAGATAGATAGATAGATAGATAGATAGATAGATAGATAGATAGATAGATAGATAGATAGATAGATAGATAGATAGATAGATAGATAGATTAGATAGATAGATAGATAGATAGATAGATAGATAGATAGATAGATAGATAGATAGATAGATAGATAGATAGATAGATAGATATATAGATAGATACATTAATGTCGAGAGACATAGATAGAATACGAACACATAGAGATATAGACATATAAGTAGATAGATAGATAGATAGATAGATTCAGAAATAGGTAGATGAAGAGATAGATAGATAGATAGATAGATAGATAGATAGATAGGTAGATGAAGAGATAGATTGATAGATACATAGATAGATAAATAGATAGATAGATAGATAGATAGATAGATAGATAGATAGACATATGGATAGATAGATAGATTAGATGGGTAAATATATAGATAGATCGGTAAATAGATAGATATAGAAATAGATAAACATATAGATAGATATATTGATGGACAGATAGATAGATATACAGATCGATAGATAGATATATTAGTTAGATATATAGATAGATCGGTAGATAGATAGGTCGAAAGATATAGATAGACAACAACAAATAAATAGAGAGATAGAGAGATAGATAGATAGATGGATGGATGGATCGATAGATCGATAGATTAGAATAGATTAGATTAGATTAGATTAGATAGATAGGTAGATGATAGATAGATAGATAGATACGATACAACAAAATAATAAAAAGACAAGAACAGGAAGACAGACAGAAATAAAGCAATAAATGAAGAAATAAAGAAAGCAATAAATAACTATATCATGAAAGAAGGGAGGAAGGAAGGACAGAAAAACAATATAAAGGGAAATAAATACATAAAGAAAAAAAACATTGTCCGGACACAAAGAAGAAACAGACAAAACGAAGAAGAGGAGAAAAAAGTCAAGAACACAAAGAGAAACATAACATAGCTATAGAATTTATGTTTTGAAACTTCCGCCCACCGGCTTGCAGGCTCTACTGGTACAAACCGAAACAGTGCATGCCTAACTTGTCACCTAATTTTGAATATAAATTTG